TCCGTACGATTGCCGCCTTGGGATCGTTCGGCATCTTAACAGATGCTGGCTGAACGGCATCTTGCCAGACACCGAGACCACCGTGTTTCCAACCCAAGAAAGGAGCCAAGCCTTCGACCACATCAACGAGATATCCGCTAGTGGTGAGAAACTTCCCGTCATTTTCCACCCTGAACTTGGCTTTCTGTCCCCAACTGGCATTACAGTCTGTTCCCCAGAGATAAGGATCCCATGGAGATGTCAAATCTGGCACCCAGGAAGGAAGCTTCAGAGTAGATTCCGTCGTCCCAGTCAGCACTATGTCGAAAGATTCGAAGCCAGTGATAAGCGCGCTGGCAAAATCCGAGAACACATCTTCTACCTTCTTCGTATAGTCCGGCTCGATCAATTTGGCCACATATTCCGGTATCATCCCCATTAATCCGTACAGACGATCTCTCAAGTCGAGTGAGCCTGCCATCCTCCCAATCATCAAGAGCAGTCCAAGGTCGTCTTGATCTTGCCTACGCTCTTCATTGGTCTGAGCTCGACCGCGGCGAACACGCTCTTGAGACGCATTTACTAACTCCACCAACTTCAAGATTCGCCACACTTTCTCACGAGCCCTTACAGCGCCATGGATGTTCGTGACACCTTGAAGAAAGTTATGAAACGGCACCAAGCCCATGCGGAACGTCCCGAAAAGAATAGAAGGGTTGAAGGGACCCAGGCATTTCTCCTGAATTACCCAAATCCGAGACCAGTATGTCTTCTTGACAACTACATCGATGGCCCTGCGTATGGTTTCTTTCTTCTCTGGGTCCGTCATTGCTACTTCCAACACCTCAGATGCTGCAGCTTTGTCTTGTGACTTGACTATCAGTTCGTGGAGCTGAGCCATGTCGGAAATAGAGTCGTTGGGTATGTCGCCTAGCCAGATGGAGACAATGAGCGCTCTTCCATAGATTTGACGCATGCGCTTCACTTGACGATTGCGCTCGGCCAGGTCCCTCTGGTTGATGCAGATTGCATCGGCCCAGACTTTCAGACCATCAATATAATCTGGATCTGAGGACAAGGCTCGCAGAGCTGCCTCTAAGCTTTGACCGACAAGCACAACCTGGCCATTCATGATGATCGGCACTTTCACAGTCTGGTCCCCCCAAGTGTAGCTCAGGGCTCCGTAGTCACCCCATGAAAATCGATGATAGCGATGATGCGCACGTGGCCTCTCGAACGGTGAGCTTACTCTTGTCGGGCTCAATGACCGATATCGCTCATTCGAGAACCGTCGCCATCGCTCATCGCTGTTTCTCCGAGACAGCTGCGGCGTTTGTGACGACCAAGCTCTATAGTCTGGCAGATGTGCGTCGAGTGAAACGTGCTCAATCGTACAATGGACAAGGCCATGCCATTCAGGTGGCTCATCCCGAAGCTTGGCAAGAGGTGGTCGTTCAATTGTCTGTAGGTTGAGGACCCGGATCTCGTTCCGATCTTCGTTGAGCGGGTAGTAACTGAATGTGGTAGTTTCTGTTGATCTCTGAGTTGCCATTGTGAGAGAAACAGAGCTGGCCACTACGCATCCTTCACTTGCCCCAGACGCGGTCTTTGCGGTATTTAGCCTTGGCTCGCGCTACCGGGGGACACGATTAGATGTGATTTGTTGATTCGCTCCCCAGATCAAGTGCCATGCTTACGACACTGCCCAGTGTGAAAGAATCTGACATTCGGCACAGCCCCATCGAAGAACAATGAGGGGCTATCTCGCAACACAATTGGTTCGAATGGAAAAGAACAATGCAATAGTAAGCCCATTTGGGTCACGACCTTGTACATAACAAAACCTTGGGTAGATAGCCGTCCGCAACTCCAGCAATGTCGATTCAATGCAAGACTACTGGGGCTCATTCATCAAAACACAACAAAGGGTGATTATTGTGCTAAATTGAGGCTTTTCTGCCTATCCTGGTCCGAGCGTAGCTCTATTTTGTGTTTACCTAACATCACGGTTTTTTTTTTTTTTTTTCGTTGCATATCGTTCAATGCATTTCTGCCATCCCTTTATCCAGCTGGAGTAGTCAATCCAACAGGCCGCTTGAAACCGATAATGCTTGTAGTTTCTACCTTGGTCGTCCCAAAATAATTGTCAATAGTGGAAGGATCAAGGAGGCTTGAAGGCAAGGATGCTGATGGTGAGATTCAATGTAGGAGCTAGTCCTAAGTAAGCAAGCTGGATGGATGATGGTTAAACCACCCCGTTTACCCCTCACTCCTTACTAGGATATATTGCGCTCTTACTCTGAACCATGGTTCGGCGTGTGCTATTCAATTGCTACAACGGCCTGTGCTCGATCAAACAACAATGGCCGAGGACGGTGCTGGTATGTCGCTGTGCAGTACCTGCTTAGCTATCGACCTACTCAACATCCCTGCATACCCAGATAAATACATCCTGAATAAAGGATCTATTTTTCGACCCACCTTGAGTTTGCTGCAACTTTGGGGTTCTTGGAGAGAAGAAGAGGTGTCACAATTTGGCGTTCAATTCCACCGAACTTTCGAAGACCTGTTGGACGCCTCAAAAGAATGCGCTATCTGCGCCGCGGTTCTTCACGGCGCTCACATCTTTAAGAGCTGGCTTACCGAATTGAGCCAGCAAGATAAGAAAGATGAACACATCAGCAAGTACCTTGAGGACGGATCAGTTTGGGACATGCGACTTGTCAAATACTCCCAGGACACAGAAAACATCCTGGTCATATCATTCGACGCTGAACACAATTCCATCCGCCTGATCAGTGCTTTCAGACTGTGCGTTTCAGATGACAGCGATCCATTGAGCGCTTCGATCACTGGACGGTGCTTGAGGAAGAACCCAACAGTTGACTCAATGACCGACCAAGTTGCGAAATGGTTGAGAGACTGCGACCGAGAGCATATTCAACTCAGGTGCTGTGTAGGCGAGAGGTGCTTGCCGACGAGGGTTCTCGATGTGGGCATCGATGACAAGCAAACCTACATCAAGTTATACGAGGCTCGGGATGCATGCGGGAAATACGCCGCTTTGAGTTACATGTGGGGTCAAGGAAAAGATCATTTCAGGACCACCATGGCGAGCCTTGAGGAACACAAGGAGGGCATCATTACTGCGACTATGCCCCAGACATTCCAAGATGCTGTCACCATGACGCGCAAATTGGAAATACGCTACCTCTGGATTGATGCGCTCTGGTGAGTGCTTTTCAGTCTACAATAATGCCATTATCTAGAACACAATGAGCTGACATCTCACAGCATCGTTCAAGACGATATCGCAGACTGGAGCAGGGAAGCTTCCACGATGGGCGATGTTTACTCGAATGCTTACATCGTGTTTTCTGTCTTGAAATCAAGTGATAATGGTGTAGGCTTCTTGGGTCCGCCCGAAACACCCCCCTATGCAAGTTGTACATCCACTGCTGCCGGTATGACTGCCACTCTCTATGTTTGCGCAATACCTCGCACGCAGGCTTGCTACCTCAGTAGCGAGGACTATGTGTGGGATGAGCCTCTCTCGAAGAGAGGCTGGACTCTGCAGGAGCGTTGGCTTGCGCCGCGTCTTGTCCATTTCGGTTCACAGCAGATGTCGTTTGAGTGCAACGCGTACTTTTTGTGCCAAGATGGAACGAAATTCTTAGGGCGCTACAGCGACGCCAGAAAACACTGGGACACCGTCGAGGAAGACGAGCGCGCCCTACGAGCTTCTACCGAGTGGACAGAGCTTGTGACCGAGTATTCTTTACGGAAACTTACCCGTGGCACGGACAAGCTTCCCGCTATATCAGGTATCGCGAGAATGATTGCAGGTCAGATCAACGATCAGTACGTCGCTGGACTTTGGCGCAAGGCGATGATTGAAGGATTGTCATGGGAGTGCACTGAACCTGATCAAGCTGCCACGCATTACCAAGCACCATCTTGGTCTTGGGCATCTCTCAATGGGCCAATTTCGCAGCAGAGCTTCGGCAACTTAATGGGCGATAATGGTCTTGAGGTGACGATTGCGAGCCTCTCGAGGGTTCTGGATTGTGTAATTACACCAAAAGGCGAGGACCCATACGGCGAAGTTCTTACCGGCTCTTTAAAGATGGAAGGATTATTCAAGACCATAGGTCCTGTGGACTGTCACACAGAGACGAAGGTGAAGTTACACCTGAAGGGTATTCCCGGAGCTGTCTCCGAAATGAAGTTTGATACCACAGAAAGCGCAAGGGAGGCGTCGAATGCAACACTCAGCTGGTTTATGCTGTTTCAAATGACCCAAATGCACGAGAAGCCTGGGGCCAAGCTCCACATGCATCAAGAAGGTATCGTCATTATACCCACGGGCAATGGCTCGTACCGACGCCTTGGAAAACTACGTATAGATTATGCTACCTGGGGAGACAATAAGCTGGGAATCAACTTTGAGACGCGGAACGTGGTTATAGTATGACACCCATTTCTCACTGAGTAGAGACGGACCACATGCTCTTATGTCACAAATGGATTTTCAAGTAGTAGTCTCTACATATCGTATATGATAAGCGAGCTGGTCACTTCCTTAACCCACCTTAAAGTTCAATTTTGCTCCGAATTCCTTGCTGTCGTGATGGCTTCAACCTTCCAAGGCCTCACCTTACGTCACGTGACCTTGGTTACATAATCACCGAGATTCACCTCACTTGCACCCTCTATCTCAGAGCGAGCTTCGTGCCTAGTTCCTACTTCCAATAGACAAGCGTTCTCTTTCACCTACGTGGATGACCCTATGGTGACTATACGACACTTGCTTCAAGATGCTGATATCCCTTTAAAAGTCTGATCGATAACTCACTCTACAGAGAACTTCAAGTCCTAGCGTTGACCAGGGCCTATTCTACTGTAAAGAATCTTCGGCTAGTTCGGCCTTCGCACTCGATAGCTCTGCCGGTGTTATTTTTGTTGGCTTCATCCCTGCCTCCGTTTGTCTGTTGAATGACACATTACGTAGCCTATTAGCCTTAGCGGATGTAAGCTTGAGCTATGAATAGATCAGTAATCGCAGACATATCGTCATTATCGTGACCGACGGCTTACGTAGATCTTAACACCAACCACATGGATTACCAATGCAAGTCACAATACCATACTAAGCGACGTACCCGCGGCGACAGTAGCCTCAGTAGCAGATAGAGACTTCGAATTGGCATGTATCACGGCTTGTTGACTCGGACTTATGCCGGAGAAGTACGTCGTATAGTCTGGATAGAGTTCGATAGTCTGGTTTGTATCGCCGATTATGGATAGGATCTGATCGTAAGGTTGCGCGGCATAGCATGTGCCAATGTTGCTGATGATAGCCGTAGCCGAGATCATAATGATACGGACTTTGATGATAGATTCTGCCTTTTAACCTAGAATAATGAGAGGTTTTCATTTTTTTTAAGAGGGTAAGGTGGAATGTTGAAATGATGTGGAACCATGCTCGAAGCATCCATGCCCTGTGTAGGTCGATTTGGAGTCTCTTGGTCTTGACGTATGCGGCCACAAGAACCCCAATGAAATGAATGCTGAGAAGCCTGACAGCTACCTGAATGTTAAGTCCACCTATGAAAGAGCCTCTCGCTATCATCAAGGGGCCAATAGTGCCCAGTAGCAAGAGTAACAAAATGATGTATCTATTCAATCAATGGCCTGGGGTTATTGTATGTTGCATAACTGGTAGAAATTGGAAATATGCTAAAAACCCGACAGGAAAAATTGCGTCGAGATGGATGAGTAGCCCGACCTTTTGGTAGCCGTACTGGTACGCAAAGTACTCTCTAGGGGTAGAGCCGTTATGAAAGACGTTTAAGTTAAGGTACTGGAAACGAGCAAGAGTGAATCCGATCAGGACGCCGGCGAATACAAAGAATAGGATAATATTGTAGCCATTATAGAATCTAAGAGGGTTATAGACTTTGCAGGCTACCGCCACGAATCCGTTGGGAAATGGGCGCGGTGGTTGATTTATGTTGAGTTTTTAGAAGACGGGGAGTTTGTTAATGTAGTCGATAGTAAGTGCTAGATCTAAGGAAGCATGCGAAATTCGATCGGAAGCGGAACGGTAATAAATAGAAACTAACGTTGATCGTTATATTATTGCGGATAGTGTTTGAGGAAAGAAGAGATCTGCCGTATAAAATAGTATAGGGAAAACCCATCCTTTAAGTAACAGCCACCCGGTTAACTAAATGAAGCAATTCGTTTTATAAGGGAGTCGATTTGCCCGATGCTATTTTAAGTACGATGATGTGAAAGCTATAAGTCAAAGTACCCACTTATGGGCCCCCCCCCTTTTGGGCCCCCCTAAAATCCCGCCCAGCCCCCCGATTAAAACCCTACCCTTAATATATAAACTACTATAATAATTATAAAAATTATCTAAATATATTTCTTTTTAATATAATTATTAATTAATATATAATAATCCTATATATTAAAAATAAGCTCTAATAGGCTCTTAATATTATTAAAAACGGTCTTTTTATTAAAAAGGCCTTAGTTAAGTTCGGAATTCCTAAAGTAATACTTTAAAATCGTAAAAAAGGCTATTAAATAAGAATAAGGGTATTTATAAACTTTTAAAGGCTTTTTTTATAATAAAAAAACTAACTAACTTACTAAGTTCGAATTTAATATACCCTAAGTATTATATTAACTTATTAATAAGTTAGAGAATTTACTAAATAAGTTTTAATAATTTAGAGGGATACTAAACTATTTAAAAAAAAAAATTAACGCTTTTATTAAAAAAGATTTATTAATAAGGATTTAAAAAAGTTATTTAATAAATTCGCACCGTATTAATAAAGCTATAACTAATATAATTAAATTATAATTTAAATTACTTAATATATTAGAGATTAGTAGTATTAAATAAGTTAATAAATATAATATAAATAGGATTAATATAATAGAGGGTAAGGGAGCTAATAAGCTAGTTTTAAGTATAATAAAAGTTATAATAATATAAAAAAAAGAGCTTAGTTTACGTATTTAAATAACGATTATTAAGTATATTTTTATTAATAGTAGATTTATTAAACTATTAATTATTTATAAGAAAAAGTTAGTATAGTAATAGTAGTTTCTATTTTAACTTAACTTTTATAATAGTTAGAAGTTTATAATAATAAATAATAACTAAATAACTAACGAGACTACCTTTTATTAATTAAAAAAAGTATTTTTATTATAAATTAAAACCCCTCTTATTAAGGGGCTTAGTAAGCTAAACTAGCTTTAATTATTAATATTAAATAGTTATAAGAGTTATATAATAATAAAATTTATATAAGAATATTATAAAAACTAACGTTTATTTATTATTTTTATTATTATATACCTCCTATATTCTCTAGTTATTAAATATAGCTATTTTTAGTTTTATTAAGTCTTATTATAAAAAGGAGCTTAATAAAGAGGATATAATAAATAATTTTATTATTATTAAAAAATAATACTTCTTAAGCTATTATTAATTTACTTATTTAATTAATTTAATATTATTAAATATATAAAATAAATAAAAAGTAATTAAATTATAGCTATTTAATATAACTAACCTATTTTTTAACTTAATAGTTTTATTTATATAAGTTATACTATTTAAAAAAAATATAAAAACTAAATAAATAATTAGTGATATTAATAAACTATTTAACTAGGTATTAATAACCTTTATTATTAACTAGTTAATTTTTAAAAAAGTTAGCGAGCTTAGTAACTATTTAAAACTATTTATAAAACTTAATTTAAATAATAATACTTAACGATTATTATTTAAAAAAATAAAAAAAGTATTTAATAAGTAAGTTTATTACTTAGCTATATTTTAGTACTAAATTCTATTTTTAAAAATAAGGGTTTAGTATATAAAGCTTAAAAAAAAAAGAGTATATTAATAAACTTAAATACTAAGTTTATAAATATTTAAAATATATAAAAAGCTTAGGAGGACTTTAATAACTATTTAGTTAGTTTTAATTAATTTATAAGAGTTAAATTACTTAAGGAAAATAATAATTATATTATTATAATAGTAGAAGATAGTTAATTAATTAATTATAGTTAGTGGTAATGTTTTGATACTATGTTTATTAGGGGGCCCAAAAGGGGGGGGGGCCTATAAGTGGGTACTTTGACTTATTCGCTGGTTATGCGTTGTGCTAGAAGCTGCGATGGGAGTCTAACCTTATGAGTATTGATATACAAGGTATAGAAATTTGGATGCCTTCCTTGGAGGTGCTAGCACTCTATGTCAGGACGTTAGTAAAGATCTTTTTTGTAGCTATTCTTAGATTTAAAATAAGCCCGAATATATGGCTGATTTTGTGAAATAGGTGATAGGCAATGGTTTTTATCTTTGCACGGATCTCTGCTCTGATCGTCCGGATGCCACTGGCTATGCGTAAACAGGCAATTAGAGCCATTACTAGATGTTAGAAGGCGCCGTCTCGGTAATTCTTGGATTCTCAAATCTCGAGAATGTGAACAAGAAAGGGTTCTTCTCGAGGCCTCAGGGCCGCGTCGCTACAATACGAGGATTCAACTTCGCAGCACTAGGACAGGGTAACGATGACCGCCTGGAGCGCGTCGGACATGACGCCCAGAATCAGTATAGCTTCAATCATGGCCAACTGATAGATGATGTGCTTGGCCTGATTCGTCTTCGGAAACGCCGACCGGCCGTCCATCAATGCTGAACCCTAATACGCACTCGTTTGCGAAACCTGAAGACCTAGACACACGACTCGCTATAACTAGCACAGAATGACCATCCTCGGCCGGAACCCCTGTTATAGTAGCTCATGTCTGTTGGGATGCCCGGCTGGGCTGGGGGTTGGATCTGTCTATCCGTCCAATCTCTGAGCCTTCTGGCCCATTCGCGATCATGGAGGGCAAAAGGCTGCAAATGTACGTCTCGGAAGGAGGCTACGCAACATGGGCCGAGTGTCAGGTATTGATCGTTACCATGCCGAGCCTCCTGGGATGACCAACAAGCCACTTGTCGGGCTTATGAAGCTTTTCTGCCCTATTAGGCCGAAGGGTCACTCTAAGAGATGGCGTTGGCGGCCATTGGGCACAGGTCAATGGTCATGCGCCGTGAAGTCTTCGGAACGGGTAGCTAAGGCGCAAAACTGCGCGTCTTGTTTCGTTGCTTGTGCGTGTGTTAACATTGCGCCTTTTTGATTGAGAGGCAAGGTCGTGAACGAGAGATGACCACATGGGCCCCAGGTAGCTTAGCTCGATGCGTAAAAAACAATGTTGTATCTCAAGGCAGCAGAAAGTGCTACGAACAACAACGCTTTTGGTAGGCATATCAAGTGGTAAATGCGACAAGCTCAGTCACTGTGTGCCATGTTGCCGGCAGACAGCATGGTTATCGCCAGCCTCTCAGATTGAGGTTCGTAGTAAATTATGTGGGGAGTTGGGATTCATTGCTTTCAGAACAGTTCATCTAAGAATATCCCCTAGCGAGTCATGTGACTTTGATTCTGATTCATCATAGTTCTGGGGTTAAGTTTCCCCGGGCATTCTGTGATTCGGGTCCATCAGTATCAACAGGTTTCGTTGTCTCGGCCCAGTTCCAGTTCGGAAAATGCTCATCACAGCACGTACCACGGGTGAAAGAGGCCGGTCCGTCACTGAAACTACGGCACCAGATTAAGGGGTCTGTATGAAAGGATGTACAGCAGGGAAGTCTATGAGGATAGGTCGTCTTCAAAGTTTAATGATCTGTTCGAGATCTTTTCGCAGAACCTGGCGAGCACCCAAGCGCAGACAGAGGATGGCACTAAATATTTGGTCAAAGCAAATATGATCCTGCATCATAGCCACAAGATCCACCTCCCGTGGTACAAGCCCAGGAATGGCAGCGGAAATATCAGCTTTCGAATGCCCTGCTCCATGAAAAAGACGAAAGTCAACGGGCATGATTTTCAAAATGTCTTTCCAGAATAGAAAAGACATTCCCCAAGCAGAAGCTGGATCTGTGAGTAAACCATTCTCTGAGCACCTACGGGGATAGGAGTAGTCTAAGTTTATGGATTAAGCCGATTCTTGCCCTGGGACATTTTCTAGTTGAACCGAATCCGAGTCTCTCTCCATTGAATTATGATCAGGATTAACAGCTTTCAGGATGTAGATAAAGTCTTGTTTGTATCCACAACTATAGCAGAATGTCTACCTGCCTTGGAGAATATTTCTAGCTCGTCGAGTCATCTAACGTCCTATACGGATGGACAAGGTTTCAGGAGTCGATGCCAAGGTTCTAATGACTCGGAAACCTTTCTTTCGTTACTGAATTGGAAATTTGTGCTGTGCCTCCTCTA